TGCAGGAGTCAGAGGATCGAAATAACCATCAATTATTAAAATAGTTGGTGATGTATTGAATAGTTGACACCAAATCAATTAATCAGTTACCTGCTGCAGCCCTAATCTCAACAAGACGTTTGAACACTCCATCTTGGGCTTGATGGACATTTTGGACTATTTCATCACATTTATTTAGAATCCATGAACTAAATGATTGACCAAGAAAGTAATCAAGGTCTAACGCATATACAGGAGTAACAGAAGACAAGGGATTCATTTGGAATAGTTTGTCTTTGACTGACAGACTATTTAAGACCAAATTTACTTGACCTTAAGTGATCATTTTGACTTAGCTATAATACAAAAGTGCTGTCTCTCGAAACAAACCCATCTTCAAATCACTACTAAAGTAAGGCCAAACTCAACAAGTACATATCTGCAGTGGCCAGGAAGTGTAGATGTGGACCTCCAAGGATGCTTGGTAGGTGCCCAGAGATTTGCCTGTCTCAGTATTAAGACCACAGATTAGCAAGCAGTGCCCGTTTGCTACCTGAAATCAGAACGCTGATCCCGTGTAATCGCTTTTCAATAGTAGGCAAGCACACTGGTTTCAGGCACGGCTCAGAGAAGACATCTTGAGCAGCAGGAGGTCAAGGAACAGATTCCTAATTCAAACAAAGAGAAGCCCATCCTGTGAGGAGTGATAAAAGGAAAATTTGTATTTTTAAAGCAAGAAAAATGTCATTAAACAGCTCATTTCATGGTTGTGTGCCTGTGTTGACTCGCTTTGATGCCCGGCTCAAATCCAAGTCGGAGGCTGTTTAAGGATAACGTGAGGCCAGTTTCTCTCAGTGAGCCTCCGGGGCCGCTACTGTTTCAATATTTCATGAGCAACAGCCAAATCACCGTGTTGGAATAATTAAACATCAGTTAGAGTACAAAACTACAGAGAATATGTTATGGAGGCAGCTCATCAGTGAAGAGGGAGTCGTGAAGGAGAGCAGTGGGGCTCCTCAGAGATCAGAGACGGCTCACTCAGACACTCACAGGAATCTAATTTTGCCATTACATTGTATACAGCCTGATGATTATCGCCTGAAATACCAGAGAAAACTGTTGGTAGTGATGTGGAGGAAAGCAATGTGCAATTTATTGCATTCATGTGTGTGCTGAGCAATGATGGCAAGAAGACACTGCAATATCATGCTTTGTGAAGTATGAAGAGACATCAGTTACTGCACATTTTGCCACCAACCAGCAAAAAAGCTTAAATGCATTTGGAAAGAACATATCACTCTTGAAATAAATTAACCAGTGCACACACACACAGAAGATCAGTAGCAGCTTTCAGTAGGTTGGTGTCTACGAAGTATCGAGGAAACCACAAGAAGCTTGATGAAACTGTTACAAGTCACAACATGTTACAGTGTATTTACGTTTAATGTTTTAAGAGGTTTAATCCCATGTCATTAAGTCTGAATCTAAAACTGAAACTGATTTCTTTCAAATCCAAAACAAATGTATTCAGGTTGCACTTTACCACATTTTACATAATTAAGAATTTAACCTTAAAACCTACATATTCAAAGACTTTTTTTTAAAATGAGTATGCAACTAATTAGAATTTGGATTTTTTTCAAAAACAGCCCATTGAGATGTACCGTCTCATTTTCAAGGAGGTCCTACAAACACAAATACAAAACAGATACAAGTATTTAATCTGATGTTTTGTTTTTCATTGATGATTCAACATTTGTCATGCAATTGCTTGGTTTGTCCAACAAAGTCTAAATATGATGAATTACATAAGCAAAGTACCAAATCCTCCAAACAAAAAAGTTGAACTGCCAGAATGTTTTTGCTGGAAAATGATTGTAAAATATTAATTTGTGCATTCTATAGTTGTCAAGCAGCAACGTTTAACTGCACATAATCAGCAGCATAATCACGTTGCACCGGGGACTGAAAAAGGGACTTCTTTATTCATAAGTTCCAGGCGCTCAGAAAGGGAAAGCAATATAGAGTTGCCGCGAATAGTTAATATACACAATGAACTCTACATTAATAATGCACCAACAGGTATGTTTTAAATCTATGCTTTTTTTATTATTTTGTTCTAAAATGCTTTAATTTAAAGCTCTTTTGGCTCCGCTCACTGGTCAGCTGCAGCAAAGTCCACCGTGGTTTGGTGGAATATTTTCCAAAGACCCAAGGCTAAAGGTAAAGGACTACTTCAAGTTATCGCAAAACAAAAAGGCAGTTTGTACGTTTTGCAGTGTTTCTATGGCACGCCACAGCAGCACTGATGCAATACTCAAACACCTGAGTAGAAAATGCCAAGGCACTATTCTGGAATATGCACCACCAAAAAAAAGCAAAAACCTCAGTAAGTGTTGTCTATTCATTAGAAAGGACAGATTTTTAATACCTTTTTGTTGTTGTAGCTGCTAAGTACCCTTATGAAGCCATAAAGGTGTCTGCCTACTGTCTTAGAATTTCTACTGAATAAGTGTTTGATATTGAGGCAGTGATATAAGCCTATTCTAATTTGATTGCAACATGCACTGCTACTTATCAAAAGAAACAACTCAAGGAAAATTAGTTATTCATTCGCTAATTGGCAAACTAGTCAATAGAGAATAATTATTTGTCGCATTCCTAGACGGTGAGGCGTGGGATATTCAGTTGATACAACTTCATCTCCGGATATCACTGAATCCTACACACCGGACCTTTAATGTTCAACCAGTTTAGCTTTGAACTTGTTTGACCAATAAGATGTCAGCTACCCCTACCTGAAAGCAACAACTGATGGATGAAAAACAAAAAAACACTTCTTCATTCATTCAGACTCATGTTCAAAACAGGACCAATGTCAAAAGCTTAACTTGTACTTGAAATTTTCCATGGCTTTCCTACTATCTATCAAACCCAGTGTTTACTACAGTCAGCCTCTGCTCCCCGTCTCAGGATGAGCACAACTCGTACCGCTGACCACATACAGAGAGTCTCAGAGTGAGTGATGGTTTGCTTTGTCTTCTCTGCATCGAGGGCTTCACATGTGAACATCACATGCCAGCTAAAACTAAACAATACACTGCATAGTTAGGCCCTGAGCCTGGCACGTATAACACAAAGAGCACAATCATAGCAGAAAGTCTCTTTATTTAATCAAACATTACAATCTGTCCTCATGTTAGTGATGCAAACCTGCAGGGCCATTTTCAGGTATGCTCGCACAGATACATTTCATCACCGGTGTGTATCCACGCGTCTGTACAGTAAGACATGCACGAGGGGCAGGCTGTACTGTCTTTCTAACAACAGTCGGTGCAGATGCTGAGAGGAGCAGCAGGGGAAAGCGCTCATGACGTCTCGACACATTAAACATTTAAAGGCCAACGCAGCCAGGCAGCGATCCCACCTGCCTCACCAAGACGTACATCTGGCACAAAGTGAGATCAGACACAGCCGTGGATGTTCTGTGCGTGCTGATGCGTGAACAAGGGACAGTGTGTTAGGACATGAGAGCAGCATCTCTGCTACATTTGTGATAGCATCATCGTACCGAGGGTAGCACAGATTATTCATGTGGCCTGTCTGTCATGCAGCAGTGATACAACTGGTGGTTGTCAGAAAGTAAGATGGCAGTTTTGATAATCATTTTATCATTTTAATCATCTAGTAATACAGAAACTGCAAAATATTTACTGATTTGAGCTGCTTTTGTGAGGATCTTCTGCCCTTATCTGTTTTATATCATTGTGAACTGAATTTCTTTAGAACTATCAGCTGGATAAAAACTTTATACTTATGTGTAACAATGACATTGTGCAGAAAGCACACTGTAATTAATCACTTCTTCACAAAAACAGTTAAATACATCAGTGGCAGGGACCCTACTGTGTGGGATGAGATACATACAAATACAAATCTGCTAATTTTCTTTGCATTATGTCAGTGTTTATTATTTGGGGGTAGTTTGTTTTGTTTTGTTTTTTAAAAAACATCTGTTTAGACTCTGGAAAAATGAGAGCCACATTTCAGACCAAATCATTAATCAACTAATGGAGACAATAGCTGGCAAATTGATCAATAATGAACACAATTGTTTGCCATACACATGCAAGCAAATTGCTGATTCCAGCTTCTCAAGGTGACTTTGCCTCATTGTAAATTATCTTTGGGGTTTTGTAGTTAGTTGATTGTCAGATTTGAGTTGTTAATCAAAAATGTCAAAACATTTCCTGGTTCTAACCTCCACTGTGAGTGTCTTACACTGTTAGTTGGACAAAACAAGCAATTTGTGAACATCAATCTAGGGTCTGATGAGCAATTTTTGGATATTTTGTAGACTGATTGATACATCATTTAAGTATATGAAAGGATTCATCAATAAACAGTCATGAAATCATAGATAAAACAACTTTAAACTGTTAAAATTGCTATTTAGTATGTGCCAATACCTCGATTTTCTAATCAAAAGTTTGGAAAAAGACACTGCTTCGAGCTTTGATGTGCGGAACAGCAGCTACAGTAAAAGCAGAGTAAATCTGTGCAGCTTCGACCATTTCACACAGCGTTCAATTGTCCCAGCAGCTCTGAGTGGCAGAGAGCCGCTGTAGTGGTTGTAGGAAAAGCCATGTGTAGCAGCACAGCGCTGTAATGGCAACATCCAGGAGGAGATGTTAAAGCCGCTCTGCTAATCTCAAACCGTGGAGCTCAAGCTGCAAGCGCCAGCAGCGGAAACGGCGGTTTCCCCCGGTTTAATTAGAGCTTATTAAAGCGTCTGGTGACCGGTGACCCTCCAAAGGCGCTAAAGTGAGCTAGCTTCAACTGCTCCAACAGGAGCCGGACATGCCTCTCCTCCTGCCCGCTGCCGCTTTTCTTCCACTGAGAAAAATCCCCTTCTTCTCCCTTGGTTTAGTAACAACCGCTCCGCAGCTCAGCTCAGCTCAGCTCAGCCCACCAAAAAAAAAAAAAAAAAACTGCAAACATGGTTAAATTTCCGCACTCACCTCAGTCCGAGTGGAGTTGTTCACATGGAAGCGACAAAAAAGCGCAGAGGAACCAGAGGTATCCAGGAGGTTTAAACTTGTCCCGTTAGTAAAGACGCGACAGAACAGATAAGCAAAAGCTCAGTGTGTCTGTGTGAGTCTGCAGAGTCTCTCTCTCTCTCTCTCTCTCTCTCCAACCCCAAGTCACTCCTTGAGGGCGGGGCTGACGGGGAGGAGGGGACTGGAGCGCGGACACAGCCACAGTGAACGGCAGGAGCGCGCAAAGTGGAGAGCACCAGGGTCCCACAGAGGCACTTGAACTGTCGAAACTAAAAAAAAAGCTGTTTTCACAATAAGATGAGATAAAACTTCACTGATCCCGAAGCAAATTCTTGTGCCAGACAGTGCTCAGAAAAAAAAGACATAACATGACAATAAAAGCAGTGCCCAGTAGAGAAGCAGTAAGATAGAAGGATGATACATTACTGAAATAAAATAAGTAAGCTAAAATAAGACCAAAATAGAATAGTAAAAAAGTAATGCTGGCAATGGTAATGAGATAGTAAGTAGTATCACATGTGATAATGAAATATTGCACATGAAAGTGAAATGTTACACATGATAGTGAAACTAATATTGCACAAACTATTGAGAAAAGTGATATTGCAAATGCATATTTATGTTATTGGTCAGATAAGTGTCTGGTGTTTTAGCCATTATTCCTGCAGAAGAGCGACGAGTTACACAGTGTGATGGCTACTGGTAAAAAAAAAAAAAAAAGACCTTTTGTGTGTTCTGTGCTGCTCCTCTGTGTATTCAGTCTACGGCTGAAACTGCTCTAATGTGACACCAGTGTGGCATTCCGGGGATGAGGGGCATTTTTTTTATAATATTGAGTGGTTTCCTCCGCATCCTCCTCTCTGACACCTTCACCAAAACCTCCAGCTTCACTCCCAAGACAGAACCAACTTTCCTGAGGAGCTTCGTGACTCTGTTAGCATCAGCTACATTCACCCTGCTGCCTCAGCAAACTGCAGCTCAAATGGTGACACTGGCTACCACCGAGGGATAGAACATCTGCAGCATGGTTCTTAGGCCCTACATTTGTTAATTAGCTTAGTAAGTAAAACAAGTAACAAGTAGTAAAAACAAGAAATAAAATGTAGAAACCTAAGACATTTTAATGGCAAACTTATACCCAAAATTGATACCAGACCACTGCAGTCTTGACTGTATTAGACTATTGTGGATGCTTGCGCTTTACAAAAAAATGTTATAACTAGCTATTTAGCTGAACAATAGTCTGACGCACCAGACATAGGTTGTAGGTACAAGCCAGTCACTGACCAATAATCTCAGTTGATATTGTCTCCCTTTCTGCTATCTGTTACAGTTTTGTCCAAAATGGGAGACAACAACAAACTCCAGGTTGCAATCGGAAAATGACACTGAAACTGAAGGTTCTGTTGTGGATCAGGATCGTGCAGTCAGGCAGTCCTGCTAGTCTTGTTCATGTTGGATCAACCCTTTAAACCACAGTGTTCATCTCCCTGCATGCAAATGTTCCAGCACCACAGTTTCAGCCGTCGCCATTTTAAGGAAACACCAAAATCACATCTTGGAAGCAGGTCTTTGAGGTTTTTGACCATTGCAGAAGACACTATGTATGGAGGACAGCAAACACTACACATGATCATAAATGCACCATGCCCACTTAAAAGCATGGTGGTGGCAGCATTGTGATGTGAGGATGCTTCTTGGGAGCAGACCCTGGAAGGCTTGTAAGAGTAGAGGGTAAAATTAATGAATCAAAGTATAGGTGTATAGATTTAGAGGAATTTATTGGTAAGATTATACATTTTTCGCTAATTGAACAATGTTGCCTCATTAGGGAATGGAGTTTGAAATAGTTTAGGAAGGTGGGACAGTCAGATGCATGCTTAAACTGGGAAAATGTGCTTTTAAGCATATGAAATATACACAAACACAAACAGGTATCCAGCACTCTTAGGCTTGTTATGCTACATTTGTACCTACTTTTAGGCAGATTGCAAATTGCAGTACAATAATTGGTGGTTGAAGGATGTGTTTGTGGTTGGTGCATTTTTTTTTCTGTAGGTGTGTGTACATGCATGAGTGGCGTAATTCCAATCAGTCTGTGATCAAAACAGTTTAAATAACAGGGTTTAACAAGGTCATCTCAGAGCTATGGATTTCATTCGCACAGATATCAAATATTCATAGCGGTTTTATAGATCCTACATCCTTCTCATGCAACAATATGCTTGATTTGTAATAAATCATTTAATAATTTGATTTGTAATGAATAATTTATACATCTTTTGTTTGACATAGTTTATTGATTGCCTATTGATTCACACATTTACACATAAAGACCTACACAGGGTTTGTAACAGCAAAAGCATTGTACTTACTGAAATGATTACATGCACTTTGGCCTTCAGTGTAAAAGACCAGAGAAGCATTTCTTATATACGGAAGCCGAGAGCGGTTATGGCCGCACATTTTTTTAAACGGCATTTTCCCGAGATAACGAGATAATTATTCCGTTATCTCGGGAAAACGGCGTTCGTTTTCTCCAGATAACGAGATAATTATTCCGTTATCTGGAGAAAACAGCGTTCGTTTTCTTGAGATAACGGAATAATTATCCCTGGATACTGATGCCTGTGTTTACGAAGAAACAAGTGACGCTCTGGAGTGCAGCAGTGACTTTGCCGAGAATGGACTGAAAATGTCAGATCAAGGATCATCTGTCATTGATGAACGCATCAGACGTTACTTCTCTCGAAGTCTGACACAGGCTGATACGAGCCGAGAGTGGTCATTTTCCGCTACTGTTCTTTCTTCGCCGTTTTCTCGTGATAATGACTTAATTTTCTTGTTATCTCGGGATAACAAGAATCGTTTTCTCGTGAAAACGAGATAATTTATCTAGAGAAAACCAACTTCGTTTTCTCGAGATAACGAGATAATTGGTGTTTGTGTTTGCCCGCTCATGCCCGGTCCAGGATGGAATCCCAGGTGTGTGGGAGGTCCCACACACCTGGGATTCCATCCTCAGTCACCAGCGGGGGGCCGGAGGACAGACGAGACCGGGCACGAGCGCTTCATTGTAAGTTGTCGTGCCCGGTCAGCTGTTCTCATGACACGTCATGTCGGAGTTCCCGGACAGCTGTCTATATAAGATACGTCACACCAGGAAGTCTGCCAACTTCTGATGAAGGCTGAAGTGACAGTCGAAACTGTCAACGGGATAATTATCTCGTTATCTCGAGAAAATGCCGTTTTCAAAAAATGTCCGGCCATGACCGCTCTCGGCTTCCGCAGGCTGAACAAAGTTGGTTTTCTCGAGATAAATTATCTCATTTTCACGAGAAAACGATTCTTGTTATCCCGAGAAAACGAGAAAATTAACTCATTATCTCGAGAAAACGGTGAAGAAAGAACAGCAGCGGAAAACGACCGCTCTCGGCTTCCGTACTTATATACATTAAGGTGGTTTAGTTTAGTTTCCTAGATTTCAGCCTGAGTTGTTCTACATTGTTAAGTGTAGATCATACTTTGGTAAAAGAAATACATTTAGATTTGCTTTTTCTTCTCTCAATATGACATCCATATGAAGAGTTCATTCAAAAAATTTTGTAGATTTTCAGAAAATGTATTTTTTTGTTGTTTGCTTGAGATAATATCAATCAAACTGAAGTTGAATGGATTTGACTTAGTAGAAATGACTACTGAATTTTGTGATATGATTAGAAAACACCTTGTTTTTCAGAATGTTATTGGACATAAATATGAGGTATTTGTCTCATAATTGCAATGTTTTACTAAAGTGTCTCACATCCCGCCATCTATTCTGTTCAAGCACATGTAATTTCCTTTATTTAACTCACAATAAGGACTACTGTGTATTTCCTGCTCATTTTTATTGAAAAACTATATTTACTTCTGCACACTATATTCTGTTATATTCTTGAGTGGAGCCATCTGACACTACTTTTACAGCCCATTAGCCTGCCTTTAAACTGTATCTACATCTATATCTTTCCTTATATATGTTCAGCATTATTGTTGTTGTTGTTGTTGTTGTTGTTGTTTTGGCTCTGTATTCCACTTGTTCTCAATACTGTCCATAAGCCGTAAAAAGTTACATATGACAACAGATTTGGCCAACAAAGTGTTGCTCCACATCGGCAGCAGTTAGTGATTCAATAATCCTAACTGTTTTTTTGCAGCTATCATCATAGATTTATTATAAATTCAAAATCAACCCTCATCCCGAATTTAGAATATATATATATATTTCACACAAGTTGTGTATGTAATTTATTATTTAACAGTGTTTTTACTCATCATAATGCTCATGAGGTGTTAGAAATATGCAGAAGCTGCTTTGTCTGCACCGCCTCACTGCTGAGACAGTAGACCTTAGAAGAGACTGTGATACATATGAAAAATTAATTCAGTCTCCAAGATTCCTCTCCCACTCTTTGGGATTTCCCTCTTTTTGGTTCACTGTCTTTTGTCTGTCTATGCCTCTCTTTTCGCCCTTCCCTCTTGTCTTTACTCCCTTGTCTCCTGTCTTTCTCTGGTCATACCTCAGGCACTCACCTACAATTGAAATCAATTTATTTATATCTGAGATTGAAAAAGGCCCTGAAACAAGCAGTATAGAAAATAGAATAATAGCATGAAGAAAAAAAAATGTGTAAAAAAAAGACCTTAAAAACCTGCAAATATTTGTTGTATTAAATATTTTTGTTTTAGTTAGAATAAATCACAATACCATTTTGTTCACATGAAGGTCAGTGCAAAAGATCCGTCTCCTTGAAATTGCTTTTATCTTCTACTCATTTGCAACAGCAAATGCGCTTTTCATGCAACACAATGCCCCTCTGATTGCATTTACTGCAACATAGTGATGTGCTAGACGAAGTGGAGGACACAAAGCGTTTAGAGGACAAAGTTCACCCCACTGATGTGCTGAACTCTGGTTCTGCTCCTATACAGCAAATCCCACACAATGAGAAGCACTGAGCTGATCTGTAGGGCTCAATGGTCCTGATCAGATCAGCTCTCAAACCAATTCCTGATGCCCCCTGTTAGGCTACAGTTCACAACAGAGTAGAAGGTCTTCAGGATCCACAGAGACTGAATTTCTTAAGCTGTCTGAATGAATACATGGGCTGCCTCTTCTTTTCTCTTTTTGTTTAATTATGCATCACTTAATGATTCAGTTATTATAGTTGTCCAATAAAGAAATTTATATTTTTCTGCTACATGTTTCAATAAACAAAAAATCATCAATATGAAAATATCATAAAGCTTTTAAAACATGACAAACATGACCTATTGGCACAAGGTTATAAATCTGCAATACTCCTGATAAATGAGCATCTTGGGAAACATAGTATTCATAACAATTTACTATCATGTCTGTGCCTTAAGATGAAACGTATGCACTAAATTCAAGTATGTCCAATATTGACAAATAAGCAGGTATACACATATTGACAAAAAAACATGGCTAAAACGAGGGAATAAAAGTTTTAACATCACACACTGTGAGCTGAGAATCTGGGTCAGCAGTCGATGGAGCAAAGTATTTGTTCATACATGCCCCCGCCTTTCTCCTCTTAACCCCAATCTTCCTGGTCCCATGGCAGCTGAAAATGGTGTGCAGGCTTAAGACTTTATTCTTTACATATTTCATGGATTTGCACTTGCCCCACTTCTCTGAAGGAGTAGAAAGGGGTAGCTGTTTTGTTGACAGTAGCATGAAACAAAGCACACATGTAACAGTAGGGAATGAGGGATTAATTCTTTTACTTAGATTCACTCAAGTTAACGTTTGGATTTTCAAGAATAGATGAACTTTTTGGGGAAATATTCTTGCTTACTTTCTTGCCAAGAATTTTGTAGACTGATACTGATCTCAGGTCTGTCTGCTAAATAAATATGAAGATGTAGTCAGCACCCACTTAGCTTAGGATAAAGACAGGTGAAAACAGGGGGAAACTGCTTGCATGGAAGTTCAGAAGGTTACTGCCAGGAAATAGTTTGGGCCACAAGCCCACATAAAACCATAAAAGCATTACTTTTACGCTTATATATACTGAGCAAACAAGTGCGTTGATTTGAGAGCTTGTGATTGCCTCTGCACAGAGCCAAGCTGACTTTATGCTAACCTCCAGTTTTATATTCAGTGGACAGTCATGAGAGCAGTATCTATCTTTTCAAATTCTCAAAAAGACAGTAAATGAGAGGATTTCCTAAAATGAGCATCTATTACTTCAACAATATTTAGGAGAGTCTGGAGATGCTGACTGCAAAGTGCTTGAAAATGATAAATTTGATCATTAAGCACTGGATTTGAGAGGGAGTTTTCAAGTCAAAAGCTTTCTGTCATTGAGTTGTATGGTTTGAATAGGCAGACAGACAAAGAGGCACGCTGTTGTGACTAATGAAACAAGAACACAGACAGAAAATACCCAATGCTGCAGCGAGAGCTCTTCCTGAAGGACCGTTTCAGGAAAGACCATCTTTCTTTGTGTGATGCTATTAAAAACTGTGTTGTAAATCAGTACCCAGCATGTCTTTCTGCCCCGCATTGATCCACCCTCTCTTTTATGTATCTATCTCTGTGTCTGTTTTCTCACTCTGTTGGGAAGACTGGATCAGCACCAAGTAGCTGCCATGAGCATTGAGTCCACGTTGTCAAATTCCCCCATTAAGATATTAACACATCAACGAGGATGGAGTCTGCTCCTATTATCAAGCACTTTAATATTTTTTTGCAATCAACTGAATATCAATTAGATTGTTATTAATCACAATGTAAGTAGACTATTCATGCGTTTCCCTTTTTTGAAGGGCGCTGCAGCTTATTGAACTGTCTCCTGTGGATACCAGAGCAGAGTGAACAAACAGGCCTGTCAATGCCATAATGGGCTTTACACTGAGGATACTTGAGAATTGAAGTGGATGCAATATTTCCTAAGTTTATGCTTTTCTCCACATTCATCACATACTTGTTTGATGACTGTAACTAATTTACTCAAATTGTTTACATAATTTAAAATGCTTGTACTTTACTCGAGTATTTTTGTATTGTGCTGGTTTATATTTCAGCTCTACACGTTTGAGAGGGACTTTTTACCACATTTATCCAAATGCTTCAGTTACTGTTTATTTTGTAGATTCAGGTTTTCAACATAAGTTTGATCAGTTTTCAAAACTGTGGATTTAATTGTCCAACAGAATATAAAGTAGTTAAAAGTGGTTTCGCTCCCACTGGCTATAATATGAAAAGTCTGCCTGTAGAGAACTTCATCAGTAATAATAAGAACAACACAATGATATAATACATAATAATATGACACAGAGGGGCCATTCTGCTGCATACTGAATACTTGGTAAGAGTTTTGTTTTTTTTACTTAATTAAAATTTTAAATGCACTTGCAACAAGGTTAGATTTTCATATAATTACTTTTATATAAGAGAAAAAGCTGAATGTCTTTTATGTTGCTGGTAGGAATTGAGTGTCTGAAGACGGATACAAGTCCAAGTGTCACATTGAAGCTGATTGTCCCACGGAAATATTTTTATTGTTGTTTTCAGGGCTCTGTCTGCCACCATGAACACCCATGAAGATACTCAAAATATTATAAATTGGAAAAGTTTCTTCCTTGTGGCAATCTTGCTGGATCCGTAAAGTTACAGTGTTATTGTATTCTTTCTCACTTACAATAACTCATTTGGTAAATTACATCCAGATTTTCTAAGTACAGCAATGAGAAAATTGTTTGCAAACTGTTGTGTCTCTCCATGTATTCCTTCAACGTATACCAGAGTAGCACATGAATCAGACCGAGGCGGATTTCACTGCTGCGGCAGGAGCCATTTATTGTCATGCTTTACTATATATCTGTGCACCCTCTGGTGACAAGTAATCACAGCGCTTCACAGCAGGCGGCAGTATAGTGCTGTAACCCACAATACATAACATATTCCTCCCCACTTAATGAACAAGCGGCACTGTAAATACAGGTAATGCTGTAAGCAGTAAGGTTAACAGTAAGGCGTATAGTCATAGCCAAGTTGTAACAATACTTAACCAAGTGCATTTTGCGTCGCTGAATTATGGCAACTGAAATGAACTAACTAGCTGCCGCAATTATCCTATGAGCAAGAATTCTAACCTTTACTAGGCAGCCATGTAAAACTGGTAGTATAACTTTACAGTCGCTAACAGTAATGAACAATGTCAATAAACGTTATCTCATTTATTGGTGCCTACAATTAAGGGAATGAGGTAGACTGCTCAGACCCTGACATAACCCAAAGGATTATTCTGCCCTTTTCCTTTGGTTATGCCGCTAACTAAAAACATAGGCGTCTTGGAGGTTGGCAGTCCCTCTGAGGGTATCGTCGGACAGCTCTGCCATCAGGCGATCCCACACTAGTTGTGACAGGAGCAGGTGTCAGTGTGGTTGGTGGTGACAGTTCAGTTTGTGAATCACATGAAGAAGCAGTTCTGGGAGAAGCAGGCTTCATGGCAAGGGGTCCATCCTGGGTAAGTTTAGGTTGGCTTGGGTTGACCTGCTTGAATGGCTCAGCACTGTTCACTGGTGATGTTTCCACAGGGGCTGAAGATCCAGAGAGCAGCTGGTCAGCGTGTCTCCTCCAAACAACGTCCTCTGTGTTGCTAACTGTATATGACACAGGGCCAGTATGGGCTATAACTGTGGTCGGCATCCATTTTGGCCAGCTGTTATAGTTACATGCCAGTACATGATCACCTGGGTGGAAAAGTCTTTCCTTTGCTCTTTTGCTTGCGTCTCTCAACCTGAGTCTGCTGATTCAGTAGAACAATGTCTTTGATCTTAGGTGGTTTCAGAAGGTCGAGGCTGTTGTGAAGCTGTCTCTTAATGAGAAGCGCTGCAGGAGTAGCCTTTGTGGTTGAGTGTGTCGTGTTTCTATATGTGAGCAAGAAACTGTTCAGGCGCTGGTGGAGGGAGCCGTGTCCCTGTGAAGCCTTCAAGGCATGTTTCATGCTCTGAACAAACCCTTCTGCTGCTCTGTTAGTAAATGGATGGTATGAGGCAGAGCGGATGTGTTGTACTCCATTAATCTCGAGGAAGTTTTGGAACTCTTGTGAGGTGAACTGCGTTCCATTGTCACTCACAAGTTGCTCAGGAAAACCAAATCGGCTGAACATTTCCCCAAGTTTTTCAATGGTTTTCTCTGCTGTTGTAGATCTCATAATGGACACCTCCTGCCATTTACTGTGAGCGTCTATTGCTATTAGAAACATCCTCTCTGCCAAAGGACCTGCAAAATCAACATGGATGCGTTGCCATGGTTCCTCTGACCAATCCCATGGATGGAGCGGTGCTGGTTGTGGCATGCAGCAGATATTTTGACATGATGAACATGCTCTTGCAGTTTCGTCTATCTCACTATCAAGTCCAGGCCACCAGAAATAGTTCCTGGCCAGTTCTTTCATGCGGACCATGCCACTGTGACCTGTGTGTAGCTGCTGCAGAAGCTTTTTCCGCAACACGGGTGGGATAATCACCCTGCGTCCCATAGGAGACAGCCTGCCTGCACAGAGAGCTCACTCATCTTTGTGATGTAAGGTTTAAGCTCAGGAAGATCACTACACCCTCCTTTCATCACAACGTCCAACAGTTTTGAGAGCACCGGGTCATTTCTGGTGTGACGTTTCACTTGAGCAGAAGTGATGGGAGCATCCTCCACTTGTCTAAAGTAGAAGATGCTGGCCTGCTGTGACTCACCATGGTTTGCTGGCAGGGAAGCCTGGAGAGGCTGTCTGCATTTGCATGTAGCTCAGACTTTCGGTACTTGATGTCATAGGTATGACCTGAGAGCAGTAATGCCCACCTCTGCATCTGACTAGCTGCCAAAGGTGGAATGCCTGTATGGGGCCCAAATATTGTAGTGAGTGGACGGTGGTCCGTCAGAAGAATAAACTTCCTCCCGAAAAGATATTGGTGGAACTTGCGGACACCAAACACAATTCCTAGTGCTTCCCTCTCAATTTGTGCATATTTGCTTTCTGTGGCGCTGAGTGTGCGCGAAGCAAATGCAATGGGGCGTTCCTCACTGCTAGCCATGATGCGGGAAACATCTGCCCCCAACCCATAAGGAGAAGCATCATAGGCAAGTTGTATGGGCAGTGTGGGGTCAAAATGTGTCAGGACTTCAGACTCTAACAATGCAGTTTTAGTTTTAACAAATGCATCCTTACACTGATCTGTCCATGTCCAGACCTTGTCTTGACACAGCAGCTGGTGAAGTGGTTTCAGCAGAGAAGACAGGTTTGGAATGAACCGTCCGCAATAGTTCAGGAGCCCAAGATATGAGCGGAGTTGGCTCAGATTCTGAGGGGTTGGTGCATCCACGATCGCCTTCACCTTGGATGGAGCTTTGTGCAAGCCCTCAGAGTCAATCACATGCTCTAAATATTCAACTGAAGGCTGGAAAAATGCACACTTGGATCTGCGAACTCTAAGTCCATACACTTGTAAGCGCTGAAGTGTGGCATCCAGGTTCTTCAGATGCTCCTCATCCGTTTTTCCAGTCATCAGGATGTCATCCAAATAGCACTGGACTCCAGATAATCCACTCAGTATCTGGTCCATTGCACGCTGAAAAACAGCTGGGGCTGAGGTTATCCCAAATGGTAGCCTGCAGTACCTGTAGAGGCCTTTGTGTGTGTTTATAGTAAGTAGTTCTCTTGATTTCTCATCGACATGCATCACAGATCGAACAGATCATCAATGTGAGGGAGCGGATACTGTTCCACTTTCAGCACTGGGTTTATGGTGACTTTAAAATCACCGCAGACCCTCACTCACTCATCTTTTTTAATGACTGGCACAATTGGAGTGGCCCATTCACAGGTGCTGACAGGCTCCAGCACCCCACTCTTAACCAGCGAGTTCAACTCTGCTTCAACTTTTGGTCTAATCGCATAGGGAACTGATCTGGCTTTTAAGAACTTGGGGTGGATGTCTGGCTTAATGTTCAGTTTTACTGTGATGTCTTTCATGTTTCCGAGTTCCTCCTTGAACACATCAGGGTGTCTGTTAGAGAACTGTTGTCAGGTCAGTGTCCTCTTTGCACAGTCTCTGAACTGTGGGTCAGTCCAGCTTAATTTCTTCCAGCCACGAACGACCAAGCAAGGATGGGAAGTTTCCCTTAACCACATACAGAGGCAGTTTAGCTTTCTGACCTTTCACCTGGACAGTGACCTTGATCAACCCTTTTGTCTGCACTGGCTCACCTGTATATGTTTTCAGCGTGAGAGTGGATGGTTTTAAAGGAATGGTGCTGTAAGTTTTTTTTTGTAAACAGCATCAGAGATGAGGGAAACAGCTGAACCAGTGTCAATTTCCATGTGCACTGGTTGTCCATCCAGCAGTGGTGAGACCCAGTATCCCTCTATGCCTCGAGTCAGAGACAGTACATAGACTGTGAAGGTTCATCTGATGAGCTGCTGACCTCCTGTGTATTCTGGTCTTTTGTACACTTTCCCACTTGTGCTGAGCTGATGAGCCTCTTTGGTGGCTAACTCCATGGACACACTGATTTCAATAGCTTTGTCCAGAGTAAGTGCACTTTCGGTTAGCAGGCGTTTCTGAGCTGCTTCGCTCCTGAGACCACACACAAGTCTGTCTCTGATAGTGTCATTCAGTACATCATTGAATTCACAGTGTTCAGCTAGCTTTTTAAGTTTTCAATTCAATTCAATTTTATTTGTATAGCGCATATTTACAACAACAAATCATCTCATAGCGCTTCACAAAGGCAGAAACAGAAACACCCAACAATCCAAAACATCTGGATTCCCTATAAGCTTCAGCAGTCCGCAAACGGTCCACAACAGTGGGAAGGAACCGAAAACCCCACAGGGGAGAAAAAACCTCAGACAGAACCAGGCTCAGGGAGGGACGGCCATCTGCCTCGACCGGTTGGGTGAATGTAGGATGAATTATACAATGTAGTTTACAGTTAAACAAGTTATTAGAAGTTATTGTCCTTTTGTAACAGGAGGCATCATGGTGGGGGGAGCAGGATACAGAAGGTGAGGCCAGCGGCTG